GTGCTCGTGAAAGTGTAAGGGAACCCTGGTGGTAACGAAACCTTCGTCTATCATAAGTTAGGTTTCTCGTGTCGGACCAAGAGAGCTATATATATATGTATATACATATATATATATATCTCACTCTATTTTCCTAAATATAAGTGAGATACCGATGATATTCGTGGTAGTAGTAAAAGGTAGTGCTCGCGAGCCTACCTAAATCATTTTCGTGTGAAAACGCGTATACTCGAGCTGTATATGTGTGTCTTTGCAGGTAACCGTATACAGTAGAGTTTGAGGATGGTCAAAGGTGAAGACTAAGGCGGTGGAAATGGTAGAAGGTAAAGGTGGAGCTTACTTAGTCGCCATTTAAACCTGAAAGCGAGCTTTGCTTCTTCGTTTTGAGATCAAGCCGTGATATAAACAACATAATGCGGCATTCACTCACTCATTCTAAAATAGGAAGCATCATTTTCTTCTCTCTCTCTTTCTCTTTCTATTTTTTTTTGTCTTTCTATTTAATCCTACAGTTAATATAAATTTCGTTAACGTAATTGAAAGAAATATTTTCTTGGTAGGGTAAGAAAAATAATAATCGTTATGTCGCGATAATGATCGATGATGGTCGATCGTATAACCGTAATAAACTGATATCTTAATCGTAATACCAGGAAATGGTGTTAGAAATGTTCAACGATACTTGCGCTATCGAAGTCATTCTCCCCCATGTCCGATAAATTATCTATGGAATATTCGCGCGATCGGCGTCGTTAGTCGTCGTCGTCGTCGACCAGGGGGATATCGAAATTCTTTTGACAATCGTCGAGTATTCGGAGAGCTTAATGCTTTATTAATGGATGCCTCTCTAAGGAGGGTTGGAGAGCCTTCGAACTCGTTGGGATGTAAAATCTTTTCCTATCTCTCTTTCTTTTTTCATTCTCTCTCTCTCTCTCTCTCTTTCTCTTTCTCGAGTTTTATTTCTTTTTCTATCCATCTATGCTTCTTCCTCGAGATGATAGAGATACATAACGCGAAGCATAGCATTCCTAACGTGGATATTATCGCACGATCCAGCCATTCGAATAAGCAAGTTCTTGTAAAAGGAAGAGAAAGAGAAAGAGAAAGAGAAAGAGAGAGAGAGAGATAGAGTGAGATAGAATGTTAATAGCTTTTCACGAGAGACGATACGAGAAGATGCTCGCGCGTCTTCGCTCGACTTTCAAGAGATCGAGAGTACTCGCAGTACCGTATATATCTGTCAAAACGGGAAATGAAGCTGGCGTGTTCTCCTCTTTCCAAGAATGCGAATTTCGTTCTTCTTCACTTTCTCTGTCTCTCTCTCTCTCTCTTTCTCTTTCTCTTTCTCTTTTGCTTCTACTTGATGCCGCGACGATGATATTAATTGGCCATCTTGACGAGAGAATAATGAGCGTGGAACGATGAGATTACCTCGGAGATATCTGAAACGACTTTCTTGGGGGTTTCAGAAGCACTACGCCGTCTTTCTCTCCACTTTCTCTTGCTCTTTCTCTTCCTTTTCCTTCTCCTCTTCTTCGTTCTCCTACTTCGCTAGACGACACTTTACCTCGTCTAAGCCACGAGGGAACGTGTTTCAGAGTAGATGCTCGTAAATCGCCCTTCGATATCCCTCTCTCTCTCTCTCTCGATCGAATGTCGAACGGATCAGTGCTTACACAGAGGTTGCATAATTAATCTCGAGTGTTTACCCTATGGAGAAAGAGTAAGGCCATAGGGCAAGCCTTTTTGTAGATAGAACTTAATGTTGGTGTTGGTGTTGGTGTGTTAGCTATAGTTTTCGTAGGTAACACGCAGAAAGAAGAATAGAACTTCCAAATCGGTAGAAAGAGAGGGTACCCTATACCAGGATGAAAGGTACGCGAAAAGAGCCAGAGAAAAACGTCGGAGTGCTAGCAGTGATGAGGGTTAGGGTAAGGGTAGGAGTGGACCAGGACGAGAAAGAGGAATGAGAGAAAGAGAAACGAGGCTCGGAGAAAGGAGTGAGTGGGGAAAACAAAATAAAAGAGGAAAACCTCTGGCAATTTTTCACTAGCTTTTTAAAGCGCGGCTTAGGTACTCGCGGAGCGAGTTTGAATCGATTTTCCTAGAGGGCCCCATTTTTCTACTCACCTTCTTGTGCCAAGCAGTGCAAACTGTACCTACTTCCAGCTGTTTCGCTCACTCGTTCTTTCTCTCTTTCTCTTTCTCTTTCTCTTTCTCTTTCTCTTTCTCTCGAATGTCGTTCGTTCATTCGTTCGTAAAGCGAGGCGAAGGTCGGGGTAGTATTCGAATCAAAACTCGCATCTTTTCGTGCTCGCAAATTCTCGCCATCTTCGTTGTACGTGTCTTCCGTGAGTTAGAAGCCTTCTGTTACTGCTGGCTAAATTTAAAATTTATGTTTATACGTTGATGCTCGATTTTCGAATGGGTCGTTCGCTCGTAGGCTTGCTAAAGCTCGATTGTATCGTTCAATTTCACGAACAATATTTATGTATTCCTTTATACATATATATATATAGATTTCAATCGATCGACGAGTAATAAGTTTGTTATTAATGATCGTCGCACGAACTACTCCTTTTTCCTGTTAGACTCCTTTCTTTATGCTTTCTCCTTTTACTCTTTATCCTACTTTTATCTTTTATCTTTCTACATTTAGTTATTCTGTTATTATACAAAGACCGCTCGTATCAATTTCAATTTATCGCTTTTTAGTAGAAATATCAATAAAATAAAATATATTCATTACTAGCAATGTTACACTATACGCCAATGTAGGATATATTATATATATATATATATATATATATATATATGTAATTCATAAATAGAAGAATATTACATTTAACGGTGACGCGGTAAACGAAATATGTTCACAAATACGATTTAAATATTATAATTACAGTGTATTCATATACGCTTAAATATCGAATTATTGATCGATACGCGCGCGACAAAATGCTTCACGCTCTAGGATAATTAATTGCAGAGTACACATATATACGTAGACACGAGTATGCGTCGATAATGACTGAGTCGACTATCGAATTTCGGAATTTGAAGTTTTCTGTATATGCATAAATAGATCTTTTCGCAAATCATTTAATCCAATTACGTTTAATAATATCACTCTTTCTCTCATTCTCTTTATCTCTGTGAAAATGTTACAAATATTTCTTTACAAAGTTAATCATTTATTCATACTAATGAAAATGCGTTTAGTTAAATTCTCATTATTTTAACAATTATTTATAACTTATTGAATTTTTATTACTTTTCATATCAAATTTTTCGAACGATCCCATTCGCATCCTATCGCTCGCTCTTTCATTTCCTTTTTTTTTTATTATTTTTCCTCTCTCTCTTTCTCTCTATATATAGGTATATACGTACGGCGTATTTCACGATCGACGGACTTTCTATTCCTCGTCTCGGAAAAAATATTACCTTTTGGCGCGACCCGCCTCGGCGCCAAATCGAAATCATATCGGGGAATTCAGACAAGAGGCCGGCATTTCCCGCTGCGCGGTATACAATGCCGATACAATCAATCAGGCACAAAGGGTGAGAGAATGAACGTGTGTATGTACGATAGAGAGAGAGAGAGAGAAAGAGAGAGAGAGAGAGAGAGAGGAATTGACGGAATTTCGTTTCTGACTTCTGTAGAGTCACGGCCGACTTGTTCTCTTCGCGATATCATCGTCCTACCTTTAAATCGTCTCTCTCTCTTTCTTTCTATCGAACTTTTTCTATATCTTTCTTTTTCTTTTTCCCTGCTGTCTGTGTTTCTATCGATCAACCGGTTTAAGAGGAATATACAAGGTCAGCGTTGTAACTCCTGGCCAGCGATCACAAAGATATACGCGTTATTATCGTTTCGCGTCAGTGGTGCATCGTGAAATGTCCCGACGATGATGGAAACTCGTAAAAGTTCCATAGTTTAAAGGGAAGAGGAAAGAAAGGAGAGAGTGAGATAGAGAGAGAGAGAGAGAGAGAGAGGAAGAAGAGAAGAACAAGGGAAAAAAGGAAAGGGAAGAGAGAGAAAGAGAGAAGGTTGGGGGTGGTAGTCAAATGCGCTCGTTAAAAACGTAATAAACGGACGATATCGCTTGATAAAACAAAATATTCAGATTTTACCATCTATCCTTCTGTGATTTCTAGAAATTTCATTGCATCCTCTACGAGATTCTCAGCGTGCTTGGACACGGAAGTACACGGTTATTATACTGCAGTTGCGTGATACTTTCGTACTATCCTTCCTCGCTCCTACACTATTTTCTTCAAACTGTCTGTATATTTGTTCTTTTTATAACTATGAGTTATTATAAATTGGATGCAATTTTTTGTTTATCTAATAAAATAGACGATAATATTATTTTGAATATTAATCAAGAAATATAAATGAATGTTAAGTAGTTTGATAAGTTTAGTTCTAATATCAAAAGGAAAACTTATAGATAATATTCTTATGTATTATTTATTTAACTACATATTTAGAAATATATATTTTGACATAGGTATTTAATTTATAAATCAGCACGAACTTTCTGGCCAACCAAGTAATTACTATTAAAGCCTACGGTGATGATCATCAATCATGCAATGAACAAAAACAGAACATATATGGTTATATGTATATATATATATATATATATATATATGTTTCTCGAACTACGTTTATATATTTTTCTGTGCTAATGGTGTTTATAAATTCGAATAGAATTGTGTTTGTAAATACTAACGATTTCTCTTTGAATATTAATGGTGAAATAAATCGATAGTTGTGACAGTTTAAGATAATCATCGTCGATCATATTTTGACCAAAAATGGAATATATATATATATATACATAAACGTGTGTCCTTCGTCGAGAAAGAGAAGGATCATTGGTCGCATTATGGTACTATATTATCGCGCTCGTATAGAACCACCAACAAGGCTACGTTAGGAGAAGGACGACGGTAAGTCGTCCTTAATGAGGAAGATTAAGAGGACTTACGAGATCTCGCCAAAGGGAGCGAAAGCATCCCTCAAGTTTTGTGTCTCGATCTCCGGGCTCAGATCTCCTACGAATATATGATAGTGTTCTGAAACAGAGAGTGTAAAAGGTCTTCGTTAAAATGATTAAATCTATGTGATGAACTAGTATAATATATAATATGTGAATAGTATGCGAATATAATAATATGTGATTGTAATAGAAGAGAAAATATATTCTTAAATAATAATAATATTTATTATTATTATTATTATTATTATTATTATTATTATTATACAAAATTATATGTAACAACATTTAACAGAAGTACTCTTATATTTAATAGAGAACGTGACAATAATTTCAATGTTCTACTTAACAAATAGTATGTATATATAATAACAAGTAAATATTATTGAATATAATGTAAAGAAAAATATAATCAAACTTAAACACACATCATGTTCTGGAGTATATTACAACGCCAATGATGTAATTACACAGTTGGTTCGAGATTTCTGTAGACTGTTAACGTTCGACGGATGATATCATTATTAGCATAATATCATTCACGTGTATATTATTCTATGTTATGCATGTTATTGTATATATTACTGTTAATTTTGAGATAATACATACTAACTAAATTCTCTCTACCTCAATTCAATGCACAAAGAAGCTTATGAGATTCTTCGTTTTTCAATGGCAATGATATTCGATTGTATAGAATGAGAATCTGGGACAAGTAGTACAATCGAACAAGGGATATTCTAAATGTAAAAATAAGTTAGAAAAAGGAATGAAATTTTTTCACTTCAGATTTAGATTTTTAGGTTTAGATGTGTATTAATAAATAAAAAATATCGTAATTAATTTTATGTCTGATTAATAATGATTTTGTGAAATAGTCATCAAGAGATTTTGAAAAAGTTGCTTCATGTTGCACAACACATTTTAATAATGTCAACTTAAAAGTATATTATTGCATACAGTGACACAAAGGGTACGAAAAATTCGTTTGATTTTAATATTATTTTAATATTCGAATACTAAGAAATGTAACAATTTTAGTGATTTTTTATATAGTTAGAAATTATTAAATAATATTTATATATAAATATGGTTGTCTGTATGAACATTATAAAGCCGTATAATATTGGTTGTTTTTCGATATTCGTTAAAAAAGGGAATATCTATATTACAATTTGAAAACAGTATAACTGAAAGTAATTTTAGGGTATCAAAAAGTTATATTGTTCAATCATATACATATACCTCTATGTATCGCGTATTTATATTTCTTAACATGAATGTGTGTATTTGAAATATCATTTTTCATCATAAATTCAATATTTATATTAATATTTATTACATATTTTGAGATATTTAATGAATTGTATTCGATCCCCCATCACCGTCGTATTACTACCACCATCAGAGTCTACCCGTATACATGGCATATTCGTAAAGGCAAGCTACATATAAATTGTAACAACGAGGGGGATATAAAACAAAGCGATAATTAATTGTTTCTGGTTAAGCAATCAGTTTCGTCCATGCAATAGGTAATGATCAGTAATGACCGGCGTCGATGTTGGCGTCGCAATAATATCAAAGTCTTTTCAGGAGAACGTATATGATGAAAATTTGATTACCTGAGCCTATATTCAAGATTATATTAGTACTTTGGTATGTATTCAATTTTTCTTCGATAATAATGATTGGCGTAGAGTGATTATTTATGAAAACGTTACCATTTTACGTGCACCATAACACAATAAACTTTACGTTAAACAGGTGGATTGTAGAGAATTTGTTTGAGGTAAGCCAAAACATCGTCGCGTTACCTATTCTTTAGGTATTCAACACAATTATCGTAGCTTCGCAAAAGCGTCGGCCAAGCGTAAAATCACAGCAAGGGTAACCCTCGCTTTCAGCGTTCCTATTAAAATTGCAACCGGTAATTTAGCATTGTTAGGTTAGGCGGATATCTTGGATAATGCCGCATGCACCCCATATTTATTCGCGGTCTTTGTTTGCATTTGCTTTGGCCTACCCGACGACTACAACAGGAAGATACAGAGAGAAAGAGAGAGAGAGAGAGAGAGAGAGATGGAGTGAGTGAGAGAGAAGATAGGGATGAGAGAGAAAAAGCAAAATAGAGTTGATACCGATTTCACAAAAGAGAGCAATATTTATAATTTAAAACAAATGTTTACGATTCTATGCTGTTATCAGGAAAATTATTTATTTATTCGATCTTCAGTATTTAGATAATTTATCCAATATCTAGAGAGAAGGAAATTAAAGTAACCAAAAATATCTGAAGCAGAAGATCGGACTGTTGAATATTATTTATTACGCTGCAGCTGGAGGTCTGTTTTCTATTCCATTCTCTTCCACCAAAATAACTGTTCTAACGGCAAACGTTCTTTATAGATTCACTTAAATCTAATTCGTCACATAATTGAAAGGATAGGCGTCGGGATTGATTTCAAATTTAGTTGTGGGTAAATTGAGAGACTATCAAATTTGCTTCGATCGTAAATCATTCTTGTTTAATGTCTCTCTTCTCTTTCTTTCTTTCCTCATTTTTCTGTAAATAAACACACATACACACACACACACACATGCGCGCATTTCAAACCATTAGATAGTCTTTTCAGTTTCGACGAAACCTTATGCATTAATTTATTACCCGTTCGAGGTTGGCTTTCGTTGCAATCGGTATATTAGCTTTTATAGAAAAGAAGGGTGGCGTGTGTAACCACGTCGTGCTTGGTAAATTGAAAAAAATACTTAAGCAACATAACTCTTGGGTGAAAAAGAGAGAAAGAGGAAATAGTAAAAGGAAGGTTGTTCGAATTCAAAGCTGAGTCAGAAACTCGGGGAGAAAGTCTAGAGTGGGCCAGGCTGCTAGTCGGTATTCGCCGAATCTGGAGTTATGGAAATTTTCTTCTACGGTAATAAATAATATTTGCACCAGCAAGCAGGAAAGACACGGTAAAACTGTCGATATAGTCTACGTATTCGCTAGACTTCTACTTCATATAGTTTTCTTTATTTTTTATTGTAAACCCATATACTATCAACCCTTTATCACCCACCCACCTTCGATTCCTTACCATCCTCTTTTAAGCTCATTGTCGGCACCAACATACGCGCCGCGATTTTACCATGTTCGCTGAATATGCATTCTGTTCAAGCAAAATTCAGTTCGTTTGTTCTATCCTTAATTGCTCCACTTTGCTTTAGAGTTTAAGACGGATTCGCAATTTATTACCATTGACTTGCCAGTTTGTTGACCCCATTTGCATTTTTTACCAACCCATCGTCGTCGTCGTTATCGTCGTCCAACGTCTTGCGACATTGAATCTCTTCCTCGAGGATCTTTGAGATCGAGATAGGAATTAGAAGACTTTGTGCAAATTTACTTTTGGTCGAATGACATCTTCTCGTATTAGCATATCCCGTTGACTGCAACGTAAAGATCTTTTTGTCTCTTATTCTTCTTATTGACATCTTCCCTACTAATTTGTCCTTTTCCGCTTATCGAATCTAAATTAAGGAATCTCGAATTATCTCAAGAAAACCACCAAGTTTTTTCTTTTTATTTTCCCCTTTTTCTCTTTTTACTGTGCCCTTTGTCTAATGTTTGAAAGTCGCGTTAGTTTCATCAATAATTACTTCAAAGTTCTATCCATTTTGGAAAATCATTATTTTGGTTTCCTTTATCCAATGGTAAAATCTGATCTCTCGGAGTTAACTTCGAACGTATCAACGAACGTTATCCTACCATTTCTTCAACCCTTATCAATCCTCTTTCACTTTTTTTTTATTTTTTTTTTATTTTACGTTTCTTTGCTATCAACGTCACCTTCAAAGGTAGGACGCAACGAGGAAGTGGGTTAAGAAGTAGTAGTCGAAAATCGAGTTATACCTATCGAGGAGAGACGGAAGTAATGGAAGAGGAGTAGAAAGAGAAGAGGAAGAAGAATAAGAGAAGGGTTGCCATTGCTACCGGGGAAAGGAAGGTAGTAGCTTCACTGAAGAGTCGAGAAGGGTGGTTTGATTACAATCGGTTTGATGGCCTATCCTCGAACAGTAGGAGGTTCCGGTTGCCACATTGACACACACAGACACACACACACACATACTCCTACAGATATATAAATAGTGAGCTCATTCTGGTGAATTAGTTCAAAAACTCGTCATCCACTACTTCTTGGTCATCGTATCTCGAGGGGAAAATATCGAAGCTCTCGTTTGATAGATATCGTTGTTTTAAAAGAAATCGTTAAAATTTCATTCCTTTCTACGTCGACGTTGAACGACACATCGTCGAATTTTCATGACGTTTCTCTTTTACCCGTCGTTAAAAGTTGTTCGTTTGACGGCCATATCATATTTTTGCATATGCTGACTTTTTCACGTTCTTATTTACGAGCCTCGTTAATCAAACTTTTTCTTTGTTCGTTCATTTAATACGCGTGTCCTAGTAGCATTTCAATTAAATAAAAATACTAGGGTATTAGGTACGATTGAAAACAAGCGAATTTGTATTTGTGTTTTTGAAGAAAAGAATAAAGAAAAAAATGATTTAAATTGAATTAGGAAGAATTCCTGTAAGAGTTCACGAGAGCTTTTCATGTTTTTCGTATAAAGGAAAAGAATTCTTCGTGCTTTCGAGGAATTTTTCAAGAAAAGAACGATATGTGTTGAAGATCGTATGGTTGTCACACGGTAGCTCGTAGCAAAATCTGGTGAAAATTGTTAGCTGGTATTACTTTGGTAAAAAAAAAAAAAAAAAGAAGAAGAAAAAATGTCTATATGAGAAATCTTTAAAACGAATCGAATCGTTGATGACGATGTAAAGATAGGAAAAAAAGATAGAAAGAGAGAGAGAGCAAATATATAAAGAAAGAGAGCATCACAGCATATTACTGTCTACCGTACGCGTTCGACGAAGGGCTTTTCAATAAAGCTGGAGTAATGGAGCGTCATTTATTATTGCAGCTAGGCTTCTCTTTCCAATGCAGCAGTAGCAGCAGCAGCAGCAGGTCTTTATGTGTGCGTGTAAGTGTGTGGGTAAGAGAGATGAAGCTATAT